GCACACACACACACACACATATATATATATATATAGATATGTATGTATGTATATATATATATATATATGTATATGCATGCATGCATGCATGCATGTATGTGTGTATGTATGTACGTACCTGGTATGTAAGTAGGTATGTAGGTGTAATTAGGTAGGTAGTAGGTAGATAAGTATAGACATGTTGGTACGTAGCTGTATAGGCGTATATATATATATATATGTATGTTTTGATATTGCATATGTATGTAGCGATATTGGTATAGATGTCTGTACATTTTTATGTGTGTACGTATGTATTTGCATGTTTTTTGTATGTGGCCACCTGCCTGTGTATCTGTCTGTCTGTCTGTCTGTCTGTCCGTCAGTCTGTCTGCCTGTGTATCTTTCTATCCAACAAACGAAGACGTTCAAATCATGTAGATATCTACACATCTACCTGTCTGTCAATCTGTCTGTCTGTCTGTCTATCTGTCGGTCTTTCTAAAACTATATTTCTTTCGATCGATCGTTGGATCTATCTATCAACCTGCGTGTGTGTGGGAGTACATGTGCAAGGTTTAGGACTGGTTCTCCCGGTTTCGAGGTCACTCAACTCCGTCCCTGATGCTGCTTCACAGCTTGCGCAGACACCTGCAAGGATCAGATTTGTTGGCCTGGCCAGTGCCTATTTGGTTTGCTAATCCTTGCTACAATTGAAGTGGCCATGAGGACCGGGGAAGCTTTGATATCGCAATGAATCTAAATAGACCATGCAGCATCACGATGTTACGCCACGTTCAGCTATGCCGCTCTATAGCATGCTTTGGCGACCAGTGTATGTAACCATCCTTACATTGTTGGTGATGTCCGCAAGCGGTGCCATTGCACTTTTCGAGCCGCTCTCTGCCACCGATGTTGGCATCGTGTGACAGGTTTACTGCCTTGTAGAGCCCAAGTTGTACCTGGCCTTGGTTTGGTCATGCCTGATGGTTTCTTGGTAGAGTTCGTTCGTCCAGACAGAAACTATACGTTTTTCTGTCAAGAGAGCATGTGGCTAAACTCGCTTCACAGATGTCTTTTGCACATGTGCTATGCAGGGGAACTTTGTATTCGGCTCTGCATTCTTCGGAAGCGCTGATTGCCGCATGATATGTTGTATTACGTTGTCTCATGATGGGGCGAAGCAATGACCTCAGCGACCTTCCCGCAATCGAAGTCCGGGTAAGTTCTCGAAGTGAACTACCGGAATTGGCAAATGCAGGGTCGAAATAACAAGAGGGGTCCAACATTCACAAACACAATATAAATCATCATAAAACCCATGGCCTGGGGTAACTCAGGCCCTTGTGGTAACTGTCGTCGCTTTACCGTTCACAGTAGTCATGGTTCATCATTGCAAATACGGTCGTGCAACAACAGTACCAGACCAAAAGAAGTAGTGCCAGCAAACAGGGACTGGAGTATCTTTACGACAATGATCGTATCAGTGGTCTCAACATAGCATTATTTCGTAAAAACACACACACAGACCGCACGCTGACCCACATGCACACACGGATACATATGTGTTTATATGCATATGTATATACATGTTTGTGTGTATATATATATATATGTATGCATGCGTACATACATGCTTTTGCACATACACTTCTATTGTTGTTTCTCGATGGAGTTTTCTTGTCTAGTTACTTATGTAGACCCACCTTGGATTTAGATACGAGGTTCCTGCACCGTGGTCGAATATATCAATGGGTACACATGCGTGCATGTATGCATGCTGAATATGGATGTTTGTTTGTATACATGTGTGCATGCGGTTGTATCTATTTCTGCAATCTTTCGCTGAATCTGTCCAACGCAACAGCTTTCTTGTTTCTGAAGCTGTGCGTTGGGCTTTGTTCTTTGCATGGTTGTTAGTACACTGTTTGAAGCTTGGAATAGGATTTCGGACTTCAGCATTTCAGGCAGAGGCTTCATGTTCGGCTTTCCCCACTTCTCGGGCCTGCTGTAGCTTCTTCCAAAACCAGAAGGAAGCTTTGTGAGTCAGACACATCCGAAGGCATCGGGGACCTTCCGTGCAAGTAGTACTGTGAACCCCATGACTCTCCTCCCTTCGCCTCCAAGTTTCAACCAAAGATCCACAAAGCTTCCTACACGCGGTTTTCAAGTCAGAGCAGTAGGTCGCTGCCCTCCGTTCGAATCTGAATTCGTAGTGAATGCTAGGTCTTGACTGTCATTAGCACATGCGGTGCAGCTGTTCTCACATTCAAGTTTTTGTTTGGTACATGTCCTTTGGCTAGCCCCAATTAAAGCCTTCTCGCTCTGGCGCCCTTAGACCGCATGCATAGTTTCGGCTGCAACAGGGTTTTTGTTCTTCGGTTTCCATGATGTTTGGCAGAGAGGCTTGTGGACAAGAATACGTCGTGGAACTGAACCTCTGCATCCGGTAGTCGAGAGCTATTTGCCCGTACCAAGCTAGGAAGCAGGGGTTCGAAGGTGGCTTTATGTATATACAATGCGAACGAATAGAAACACTAGTCAACGTTGTCTCTCTTCGTTTCTCCCCCCTCGGTCTCGTTCGCTCTCTTCCTCTTTCTCCTCGTCTTTCTCTCTCTCTCTCTCACTCTCTCTCTCGCTCTCGCTCTGTGTGCCTCCCAGTCTCTCTGTTGCGCCCCTAGCAAGCACAATATTCAAGCCACTACGTATTGATGCAAGTGGTTCTGGGGGACTCTGAGGCAAGGGCCTTCAAGGGCCTCCACCTACCACAAACTCAGAGCCGAAATGCTACTTGGGAAAAGGGTTCAAAGTCCGTCCTACCATCCTGCATAGCAAGACACCACATGATTCCATATTGATCTGCGGAAAGCTCGGAACTATTCTCAGTCTGAAATATAAACGTAGACCACTGCTGAAAATATGCAGAACTCTCCAAAGTAGACAAGAGATGCAGGGTCTTGTCTTGTCATTGTTGGTTGCAGCTGGCAGACTTGTCTCTAGAAGCTGCGACAGATCGTACACAGCCAGCGACTATGGCCCCGATAACCTGAGCCTAGAATCCTAGAACTTCAGCAGCAGCATTACTGTACCATGCAACGCAATCAGGGAGGCGGATGGCAGTGCGCACATAGCAGCGCCACGTCGGAGAAGTCGTTGCTGGCAGCCCATGGTTGTCGGCAGGGCGATGTTTGCACATGAAATTGATCTGTGCCTTTGTCCAAGCTATCCTGGAAGTCCCCAAGGTCAGGTTCTCAGATTTCGAGCTTTGGCCTAGGCCCTTTAGGCATCAAGCTTTGGCGGGTAGTGTCTGAGCCTCAAGCCGCAGGTCCTTCATATGATGTAAAGGTCTGTAAAGTCAGGGATGCTTTTCCCTGATAGCCCCATAGAAACATCTTATCATACACCCTACGACCCCATTTCAATCATGTCGGCCCCCACATCTCTCATGAAGGGCTTCAGAGCCAGAAGGCTAGCTTCTTCGCAGAACTTCTGCAAGTCAATAAGGGAGGCTTCCTATGTGCGAGTTGGAGGCACAGCCCCAGCCCGAAATCTTCCAGGCAGCTTGCTTGGTGCAACGGTGATTCGGGCAGCACTCGGCGCAGAGCCAGCGATTTCAGCAAGAAGGGATGGCCTCACGAATCTGCACATGTACATGTACTACAACGGATCACGCAATGTAAGATATTCGAAAGCTCATGCATAGAATAATGTCACTATAAGCATTCCTCCCAGAATGTCAGTGCCCTGCCCTGCTGTAGTAAAGAAACCATTGACGGGAAGCGCCTGTTTCCAAGAAGCTGCTGCAGGCATGCTATGTTCAAATTTCGAGTAGGCACTTCGGGCTTCGCCGCAACCCGTTGAAATCGCTGGTTTACGTCGAGGTTGCGTTGAGCTAGACCCTACAAGTCATGCAGCAGTAAAAGGCATATTGCTTGTGTTTGCTTGTGACGAGTTCTTGGGGTCTACGACGGCCAGTTTAATCAATGACTGGTAGTGGTCGTCAACGCTGCAGTCGTGATCGTTTTCGGCGTCGTCGTCCTCGTTGGAGGAGCAGGAGCAGTAGCAGTGGGCGCGAAGTATGAGGAGCGTCGTCATTGCTTCCGTTCTGCTCACTCGTGTCGTCGCCGTAGTAAGAAATGCAGTCATGGCAGTTAGATCCATAAGTGCGTTGTGACTGGTCACGCTTCAATCGTAGAAGCCCAGAAGTCTTGAAAGTCGGAAATCGGCACAGGAACCCGTCCTGGCGCAGGCTACACCTCCGAAACAGCTCGGGCCCTAGGGTTTGCACATCGCATGGAATAATGTTCGCAGAGTTCCGGTAGTTTTCGCAGAGATCTGCATCACGACAACCCCAGAAACCGGAGCCAAAGCAAGCAGGAATCACCAAGTCATAACCCTAGCCGCTTGCCTGTAAGTAGAATGGGCAGTTGGAGGCACAGGACGGACCCCCTCGGCAGAGCATCTTCAGTGTCCAAAGACTATCCTTCAGCGCAAGGCCTACATCTCCTTGCAACTCCAACCCTGACGTTGACAGGGGTCGGAAATGTAGACCTTTTTCGCAGAGCTTTTCTGCCGCTGAGAAGCTAAGCCGAAGACCTCGAGTACCTCGTGGGTCCTGAATCCTCCGAAATGCTCGAATCACATGTCAGTAGGCCCCAGACAATCCTTCCTCTGCTGTACACAGCGCCTGTTTGAGGCCCGTTCCCGGAATCCCAAAGTCCTGCACGAGGCCGAGGCCGAACACAGCACCAGCCCTGCCGGGGCCCTGGCCGTCTCGGATCCCTCTGGGCCGGGAGCTGTCTAGGCCCGCTAGGCTTGTTTTTTGGTTTTCAGCAGGAGGAACATGCCGACTGGGTCGTTTGTTCTTCGTGTGTTGACATGACGATAGTTCGCTCTAGACGTAGAGGGCGCGACTCTATGCTGTGCTAGGAATTGGAGTAGTTGAGTCTTTTCCGGCCTTCAGTGCAGTTGCCGTAACGCGAGCGCCAACGGTACATGGTGCCAACACCGCAATCACCGCCGCCGCCACCAATATCGTAGTTTGTAGAGAGAATTCTCTGAAGTGTGACAAGACCTGTTTGCGAGACAGCTGAACCCGAACTACCGAGAACCCACAATTCGAAGCCTGCACTCTAGGCCCACATCCCTAATCCGGATGCTCAACTTATGGATTGCGTGTCTGGCCCCGGTCGGTGAGGTGCAAGGAACAGCACGGAAGAAATTAACTGCAGCACACGTCCACACGGTTAGTACACATGCACACACACACACACACGTGTTGTAGATCCAGTATATGTATATGCAAATATGAGTATCATCGTGTGTGTATACCAATCTATGTACGGAAGCCCTGGACTGCAGCTATCCCTGGGCACGCTTTGCAACATGAGTTCAAGATATGCACGAGTCGAGTAGCAGCATACTTACGGAACCTGGTGGACAGAGGGTTCAGGCACCCACAGTAGTAGTACTGCCTCAAGAAGCACGACCAACAGTCGAATAATTGGCCCGCAAGGGGATTCTACTTTGATGGCTACTACTGTCTGATGCAGGTCTCAGAGACTGGTGCACGGGTTGACGGGATTTCTGAGGAGATCTGCGCCGGACTCGGCTGATCCTAGAAGAGCGAGTGGTTGTTGAATCAGCAGACATCCCGAATCGAAAGAACTTTGTGGCAACAGAGGAGCCAGGGCCTGAGGCACGTGGTTAATCCATGTCGAAAGAGCTACTGTACCGCTGTATGTGATCAGTCATAGATGAGCGCACCTGCTTCTAGGGCCAGAGTTAACCTTGAGCCTCATCATCATCATCATCACCATCATCATCATCAGACCATTACCACCCCTGTCGTCACCATTGTGATCTTGCAGCTACAGGTAGTTTCCGAGTAAAGTTATCAGAACGCACAGCAGCTGCAGCAACGAAGCAACAAACAGGAAAGGGACACTACACAGATCTACACAGCATGAACACATTGACATGGAAAGGTCCTCAGCCTGCTAATTGATTGCAATTCCTAAACTGAACCCCTACATTGTACACACCGGGGACAGTGTTGCTTCGTGCCCCGCGGCCGCTGAAAGCTCCAAAATCATTCCTGAACCGTCCAAGCTGATCTGCAGCAACGTTCAAGATCAAGGTCGAATCTGAATCCTAACTAGAAAACTAGTAAACCTCGTGAGTGACTTTCTGAGACCCTTGTGAGTTTGCCAGTGCTTGAACTGGCACCTGCGCTCGTTCAGGCCAGCTCACCGCCCACAGTAGCCGTGTGCACCCCAACCGGGCATTGTTTTTGATGGTCTTCGGACGACGTTGCTAAAGACTGACCGTGCCTTTCTTGAGTGTTAGTCTACATTTTGATTTCATTCCAACCTCAGTTTTGCTTGTACTGTTGTCGCTGTTCTTGCGAATCGGCAGGCAGTCAAGTCCAGGGCAAGCAGAAGGCTCTAGTGCTAACCTGCCCCAAACCCTCAATCGTGAGTGCAGATCTTGGAGATGTGAAGGGTGCCTGTCCAATGGGTCGGAAGAACAGACTAAGAGCAGCAGTCCTCACGACGACCTAAATAAGGTATGCCGTCTTGGTCATCTACCCACCCCCCCATCCACCCACCCACTCACCCACCCCCACCCACCCAGCCACCCACCCACGCACGCACGCACACACGCACGCACAAAGGAAGCAAGGAACGAAAGAACGAACGCACCCACACAAACACAGACAGACAGACAGACAGACACACACACACACACACACACTTGTGCAATCATCCCTCTGATGGACTTGTTTCTGAAAGACACTCCTAATTTCAGAGGCGAGGACAGACAGCCACTATGCAGTACA